CTCTCCCTTCAAGTTTGTCAATATTTACGTTAGATACTATTTAGGTGCTCCTACATTTGGTAGTAAATGTTTATAAGAGTTACATTCCTGTGGTTCGATTGATCCCTTTATCATTATGAAATGTTTTTCTTTGTCTCTTGTTATAGCCTTTGTTTTAAAGTCTATTTTGTCTGGTATACGTATTGCTACCCCAGCATCTTTTTTGTTTCCGTTTGCATGAAGTATCATTTTCCATCCCTTTACTTTCAATCTCTGCGTGTCTTTTGATCTGAAGTGAGTCTCTTGTAGACAGCATGCGTGTTGTATGGGTCTTGTTTTCTTATCCGCTCAGCCACCCTATGTCTTTTGACTGGAGCATTTAATCCATGTACATTTAAGTGATTATTGATAGGTATGTAGTTATTACTATTTTATTATTCATATTGATATTCTTTTTTCTACTTCTTCTTAAAGAAGCCCCTTTAACATTTCTTATAATACTGATTTGGTGGTGATGAACTCCTTTACCTTTTTCTTGTGTGGGAAGCTCTTTATCTGTACTTTGATTCTAAATGATAGCCTTTATGGATAGAGTAATTTTGGTTGTAGGTCCTTGCTTTTCATCACTTTGAATATTTTATGCCAATCCCTTCTTGCCTGCAAAGTTTCTGTTGAGAAATCAGCTGACAGTCCTTTTTTTTTTTTTACTTTTTTTATTTATTGATTTTAGCNCCTGCAAAGTTTCTGTTGAGAAATCAGCTGACAGTCCTTTTTTTTTTTTTTTACTTTTTTTATTTATTGATTTTAGCGAGAGAGAGGAAGAGAGAGACAGAGAAAGAAACATCAACTTGTTGTTCCACTTATTTAGGCATTCATTTATTGATTCTTGTATGTGCCCTGACCAGGGATTGAACCTGCAACCTTGGCATATGGGGACAACGCTCTAACCAACTGAGCTACCCGTCCAGGGCTCAGCTGACAGTCTTATTGGAGCTCCCTTGTAGGTAACTGTCTTTCTCTTGCTGCTTTTAAGAGTCTCTGTCTTTAAGCTTTGACACCTTAATTATGATGTGTCTTGGTGTTGACCTCTTTGGGTTTATCTTGTTTGAGACTCTCTGAGCTTCCTAGACTTGTATGTCTATTTCCTTCACCAAGTTAGGGAAGTTTTCAGTTAATATTTCTTCAGNTCTTGGTGTTGACCTCTTTGGGTTTATCTTGTTTGAGACTCTCTGAGCTTTCTAGACTTGTATGTCTTTCCTTCACCAAGTTAGGGAAGTTTTCAGTTAATATTTCTTCAAAGAGGTTTTCAATCCCTTGCTCTCTCTCTTTTTCCCTTCTGGTACCCCTATGATGTAAATGTTGGCATGGTTGATGTTGTCCAGAGGTCTCTTAGACTGTCCTCATTTTAAAAAATTCTTTTTTCTTTTGCTGTTTCAATTGGGTGTTTTCCTCTACCTTGTCTTCCAAATTGCTGATTCGATTCTCTGCTTTATCTAATCTGCTATTGATTCCTTCTAGTGTATTCTTCATTTTTGACTGGTTCTTTTTTATGGTGTCTATGACCTTACTTATGCTTACTATCTCTTTGTTGACGTTCTCACTTAGTTCATCTGTTCTTCCTCTAAGTTAATTGAGCATCCTTATAATCAGTGTTTTGAACTCTGCAGCTGGTAGCTTTGTGGCTTCCATTTAGTTTAGTTATTTTTCTGGAATCTTCTCCTTTTCTCTCCTTTGGAGCATATTTCTTTGTCTCCTCATTTTGACTGCCTTTCTGTGTTTGTTTCTATGTATTAAGTAGATTTTCTATGTCTCCCAGTCTTGGCAGGGTGGCCTTATATAGTAAGTGTCCTGTGGGGCCCAGTGGAGCAGTCTTCCTGGTCACCTGAGCCCAGGTACCCCAGGAGTGTCCCTTGTGTGGGTTGTGTGTGCCCTCCTGTTATAGTTGAGTAGGCATGTCTCAGTAGAGTTGTCTGAGTAAGGTCGACCCTCAGGCTGACTGGCTGTGAGGACTGGCTATGACCACAGAGCAGGATTTACCCCAGCAGGGCTCTGGTGCCTGTTGAGACTACCCTTTGAGTGCGCCTTTTGTGGAGGTGCTCTGTTGTGGTCTGAAGCTGGCCACTGAGTATGCAAGTTCTGGGGCCTCTTGGGAGGGGCTCCAGTGCAGGCCCAGGTCAGCTGTTCCCTGTGCCTGGCCCAGGGCCACCTGATAGGAGCCACAGAGCTATCCAAGGTTGGTAGCTGTCTATGTTGGTCTGGGAGGCATATCGGAGGGGTCATGCTACAAACTGAGGCCAGGTACCACCAGTGCCGGGCCTGGGGTGCTCAACAGGAGGCACAGGGAAGGCTTAGGCCAGCCTTTGGACCTTTGAGATTTTTTAGGAAAGTCTGCGGCACAGGCTGAGGCTGGCTGCCTATGAAAAATAGCTCCTGAAAGTGGCTCGGGTGATGTGCTGAAGTTTGTTTTTAAAGAATTTTGGATTTTTTACTTTAATATTTTAGGTTTCTTTACTAAAATTGGAATATTTGATTACTCAGGGCCCCAATCCCACTTTGCTTTTTGTGTTGGTTGTCTGGCCTTTTTGAACATTTTATATAATGGGAGTAATATGCTCTGATGGGGTTCAGATAGACAGAGGGCAGCTGTTAAGATTTTGGTCTAAGGAGTCGAAAAACTTGGTTTCAAATTCTCATCCCATTATGGTCTTGCTGTGTGACTCAGAGCTAATCATTCTCCTCTCTGAACCTGGTTTTTCATCTGTAAGAGGGAGTCAGTGAAGTCCCTCCCCACTTGCCATACCGCAGAAGTAGCCCAGAAAAAAGGCTCAGTATATGGAAGCTGTTATCACTGTCTTGTTCTAAGAGATTTCAGACTAATTTCTTTTTTTTCTTTTCTTTTTCTTTTTTTTTAATATATCTTTATTGATTTCAGAGAGAGGAAAGGAGAGGGAGAGAGAGAGACAAAAACATCAATGATGAGAGAGTCATTGATTGAGCCCACAACCCAGGCATGTGCCCTGACCAGGAATCGAACCCCTATCACCTGGATCCTAGGTCGACGCTCAACCGCTGAGCTATGCCTGGTTGGGCCAGACTTATTTCTTAGCAGAGGGACTACTCAAATAATAATCATGCTGGCTCTCAATAGGTGGGACTGGAAAAGGGAGAGTCCCATTTCCTGCCCCTACTCCCTTGAACCCCTCAGGGCATAGCCTGAAGTCTGCTCACTAGTCTAAGCACCTCACTTTAACAATGGAGTAAGTGACCAGAGGGCAGTGGCCTTCCCAAGGCCATACAGCATGTTGCAGGCACACGACTCCCATTTTCATACTCAATTCTTTATATCGCCTGCTTTGCTGAGACCATTCCCCAAGTGGCATATATGGGGCTGATAGACTTGGAATTGCCAATGTTTTTTGAGCTCTGTGCTAGGCATGGTTCTGAGCATTTTACCTGTGTTAATGCTGATCACCTGGATGACCCTAGAGAGGTGGTGGTTGTGTTCATTGTGTGGATAAGGAAACTGAAATTCAGTCATTTTCTTCAAGACATACATCTGGGAAGTGGCATAGCCTGCACCTCTGCCTCATCCTGAGGGTCTTGGTCTTGCTAGTGCCCCCAGGCTGGGGTCCTGTTGTCTCTCTTCTCTGTAGCTGTGTCTTTGTCCTAGACTGTATCTCCATTCCAGCCATACCAGCTTCATTGCTGGCCCTAAGACAAAAACTGAATCCTGCCCCAGGGTCTTTGCACTTACTGTTCTCTCACCCTGGAGTGCTTTCTACTATCTCCTGACCCTTAGCCTTCCTTCTCATCTTTCCCACCCTGCTCAGATGTCACTTCCTCAGACAGGCCTGCTTCAACCATAGCAGCTAAAATCAGCTCTCCAATAACTTGCAGTCATCCACCTAGTTTTAATTCTCTGTGGAGCACAATCCAGTTAATGTATTTACATATTCAGTCATTCATTTATACATTTTATGATTCATTCAGTAAACATTTACTGGGCATCCACTATGTGCCAGTCCATGTTCTTGGCCCAAGGGATACAGCAGTAAACAAAGCAGACAGAAATACCCGATCTGCAGTACTTACCTTTATAAGGGAAAGTAAACAGTAAAGAAGTAAACTGTAGATTATATCCAGTAAGTAGTATTTTTTTAAGGAAGGGAAATATAAAATATTAGGGTAAGGTTTGGTCAGGGGAGGCCTTCCTGAGGAGTTGACTTTTGAGCTGAGGCCTGAAGGAGGTGAAAGAGGAGCCACTAGAGATCTGGGCAGGGTCAAAGACCTGTGCAAAGGCCCTAAGACAAGAATGTGTATGGAATGTTTATGGAATAATGAGGAGGCCATTGTGGCTGGAGCACAATAAGTGAAGAGTAGAGTGGAAGGTCACAAGGCAGGGCCTTGTGGGCTGCAGAGAGGTCTTTGGCTTTTCCTGAGTGAGTTGGGGTCCATAGAAGGTGCTGAGCAGAGGAGGGATGTGACCTGACTCAGGTGTTTACAAGGGTCCCTCTGGCTGCTGAGTGGGAAACAGACTGAGGGGCAAAACAGGAGCCAGGGACCAGGGCAGAGGTGAATGCACTGCTCCAGGCAAGCGATGAGGGGTGTCGGCCAAAGGGGCTAAGTGGACCACTTTTGAATAGATTTGAGCAGTGAGGCTCATTTGAGATGCAGTGGAAAAAGTAGTAAATGAGAACCACACAACTTGAGGTGTGCATTGCTACTAGGTTAATATGTTTAAAGTTCAGCCCTCCCCATGTCATCTCCATGAAGGACAGGTCATGGTCTGTCTTCGTCACTGCTGTTTCTCCAGCACCTACCACAGGCCTGGCTCACAAAGGCTCTCAGGACTGTTTGATCTCTACAATTCTTTGTCAACCATCTCTTTTGGGATGTCTCTCTCTTTAGTATCCTCTATCTGCCCCTCATTTCTGCCAGGAATTCCCTTGGCCCCCCTGTTCCTCTTAACCTCCTCAATGCCATCTCAGGCCCCCTGACCCGTGTTCCTGCCGCCCCTGCAGCTTCGAGGCAGAGAATGGGCCGACGCCATCGCCCGGCCGCAGCCCCCTGGACTCGCAGGCGAGCCCGGGCCTTGTGCTGCATGCCGGGGCAGCCACCAGCCAGCGCCGTGAATCCTTCCTCTACCGCTCAGACAGCGACTATGACATGTCGCCCAAGACCATGTCCCGGAACTCGTCAGTCACCAGCGAGGCGTGAGCACTCCCTAATCCCACCTGCCAGCTATTCCAGGCCTGTCCCTTTATAGCATGTCCATCCAGTGAGTGTCCACCCTATCTCTGCCCCTCGCCCAGCCACACTGAGACCCTTCCTCAGTTCAAGCCCCCACCCTTGTCCTTATAGTCCCCACTTACCCAACCTACCCATTGGCTGCTGGGGCCAGGCCACACCTTAGCCTGAGTCTCTAGCAAGGATGGAGCACCCCCCAGTTGAGCCCTCCCTGCCACTGCTTCCCCCCACAGTGTCCACCTCTGCTGAGCACCCTCCCCCTCCCTTCTTCCAGCCTTTCCTAAGCCAGCCTTCCTAGTCATTACCACATATTGAGGTGTGAGCACCCCCAGACTTTCTCAACCCCCTCCCCCTCCCTGGATCCTCCAGCCCTGCCCCTACCCATCAAGGTACCCACCTCACACACCCTCCAGGCCCCTTCCTGCCCTATACCCCTCCCCACCCACTGCTTTCACCTGTATGTGTTCACCTCCCCCCATCCACCTGAGTCCTCCCTGACCACCATTTCCTTCAGGACTGCAGCGTGTTTACCCTTGTGAGGTGTAAGTGCCCTCTTCCCCGAACCCATGGAACCCCTTCCCTGCTCACCAGCCTCCCTGGGCCCAGCCCCCACAGAGTGTCCACCCTAGAGAGTTGCTTCTCTGGCACCGCAACCCCTCTCCTCCTAGGTCCTTTGGCGTCCCACTGTGAGGACCCCTGACCTCCCCCTGTCCTTGATTATAGGTATGCTGAGGACCTCATCGTGACACCATTTGCTCAGGTGAGACCCCTCCCCTAAGGAGGGAAAGGGCTCCAAAACTCCCCCACAATTGGGGGCAGGGGCCCAGGCCCAGCTACCCTCTCCTCACTGCCGACTCTGGTCCCAGGTGCTGGCCAGTCTCCGGAGTGTTCGCAGCAACTTCTCACTCCTGACCAATGTGCCCATTCCCAGCAACAAGTAAGTTGAGGCTGGGCCCCAACAACCATAATCATGAGGCTAAGCACATCTGGGTTCCACTCATATTTATGCTGCATGACCTCGGGCAGGCACTTAATCTCTCTGAGTCTCTGTTCAGGCAACAGCTCCCTTGAGCCAGTGAATCATTGCAATTCAAATGCCTAAGACACAGAAGCTTTTATAAAGACCCAGGGGTCCAGATACAAGGTGGTGAGGCCATAGGTGGCTAACCACCCCAGCCTCAGGGCCACTTCTGCCTTCATGCCAACTTGCTGGGCAGATAGCATCCTGTGGTGTATCTGTTCCCCCTCCATAAAATGGGAATTTAATAGCTTCTCCATTAGATGGCTTCTGTGAGGATTCCAGAGATGATATATAGAAAGTGCTAGAACATTGGGTCAGGGGTGTGGCTGAGAGCTGCTGGTTCCTCTGGTAGTTGGTGGGAGGGATGGTCAAGAAGCAGGAACTTTGGAGACACAAGACCTGACCCTACCACTGATCAGCCATGTAGTCTCCAGGAAGCTGGTTCACCATCTTGAGCCTCAGTTTCCTTATCTGTAAAATGGGTTCTTGTGGGGTTCTGTGAGAGACTGCAGAGTACATGCCAGCATGCCTGGGACACACTGAGCACTCAGAAAAAGGAATGTCAGTGCCATTCATGTTGACGGGTGGCAGGGATCTGGAGGGGCCCAGGCTGGCACTGGAGCCCCATTTCTTTGCAGGCGATCCCCATTGAGTGGCCCAACCCCGGTATGCAAGGCCACACTGTCAGGTAAATAAGCCCAGGGGTAGTGGAAAAGGTCCCCTCTTACTGCCACAGTGGGGGGCCCTCACCCAGGGTAGTTGACTCACCCTCTTTCCCAGCATCCCACTCACCTGGTGGACCCCCATCACCATGGGCTGGGGCTTCTGTGGCTCTGCCTATGGATCCTTTCAGTCACCACCCCTGCTTCCCCTTCTCCAGAGGAGACCTGTCAGCAGTTGGCCCGGGAGACATTGGAGGAGCTGGACTGGTGTCTGGAGCAGCTAGAGACCATGCAGACCTACCGCTCAGTCAGCGAGATGGCATCGCACAAGGTGTGTGGGCCTCGGGCCCTCAGGGCGGGGCTAGTCCCTGGGTGGGGCCTTCGGGGTTGGACCAACAGCTGGGTAGAATCTGTGGGTGAAACCAGCCAGGGGGTGGGCCAATCCCTGGATTAGGCCTATGGGGTGGGGTTATTCCTACATAGGGCCAGTGGGGTAGGACCTGGGGAGCCTAACAATAGGGTGGGGCCAGTGGGCAGGGCCAATCTATGGATATGGCCTATAGGGTGGGGTGAATCCCTGGGTGGGACCAACCCCTGGGCATAGCTTTAGGATTTGTAGCTCCTATGGATTTTTACTTCTCCCAGAACCTAGGGAGCCTGGTATATGTATGTGTCTGGCTGTACATCTGTCTGTAGACAATCATCTTTCTTGGGGCGAGGTCATGTGCTTATATGGTCTACGAGTGTATATCTGTGACTATGGGTGTGTGTGGTGGTCCATTTGTTGGCTACACATTTGCAGCATAGGGTGGGGGTGTGTTCCAAGAGATTCTGCCAGGAGTGGCATACAGATGTGTACCAATGATTGGTGTGCACAGGCGATTATGCGGGGTTGTGTGTGGGTCTGGAGGGGTGTGTATGTCTACAAGTATGAGTTGGTCCGCACTTGTGGTGTGTATCTCCATGTGTTTGTGACTGTGTGTGTGTGTACCGGTGTGTGCTTGCAGGGCTGCAGGGGAGGGTTCAAGGCTTGCATGTACAGCTGTGCAGATTGTGCTCTGCACAATTCCAGAGCACCATTCAGAGAGTAGGCAGTGTGAATGATGCTCCCTGGAGTTGTGCAGTATGGTGGCAGCCCCTGTGGGAGGATGCATCTCAGGAAATGAGTGTACAGGTGGGGGTGTTTGTGTTGGGGGCAGTGCATATGCCTGTGGGTGGAGATTTGTCTGGGAACATAGAAGTCTGAGGGCGATTGTGTCCCTGAGGGTGTGTTAAACATCTGAGAATGTGACCATACCTCTGAATGTGAATCTGCAAGTGTGTGTCTGTGATGGGGTGTGTGTGTGTGTGTATGTGTGTTCCCTTATGGATTTACCAGGGTATGTTTGTGTCTAAGATCACATGGGTATTTGTGTTTGTTTGAAAGTGTACCTGTGGGTGTATTGAGTATGTGTTTATACGTGTGTCCAGTATCTGAAGGTTTGTCCCTCAGTGTGTGTCTCCATGTCTGGGTGTGGGTCTGTGTTCTTGGAAGGGACATGTCTGAAGGCATTTGTATTTCTATGTTCTCAGCTGTATACCTATAAATGTGTTGCACATCAGAGTTGTGACTGTGTGTGTGTGTGTGCATGTGGTCAGTGTAGAACTAAAAACATCAGTATCTGTGCATGTTCAAGTGTGTCAAGTGTCTGGCTGTGTTAGCGTGGAAGGTGTATCTCAGAGTATTTGTATGTCTGTGAGTATGTGGAACATCTGGGTGTGTGCCTTTGTCTCTGGGTGTGTCCATGGAGGAGGCATGCTCCCGAGGGGGTGTGTACTGCTCTGCTTATCCCCAGCAGCCCCACTTGGACCTGGCTGAGGTCTGTGGGCTCTGATGCCCCTTTAATGCCCCCCCCCTCCCAGCACCAGCTGACATCACATGCAGCCTGCCAGTGCTGCAGTGAGCACGCACACACACACAGGCGCACACACAGAGCCCAGAGCCTCTGAAGCCGCCTCCTGGCACCCTCACCCTGCCCCTCCATGGGCAGGGGTCCCTGGTCACCTCCAACTGCTGCTGTGAGGGGGCCCATAGGGGCCAGGGGCTGGCAGACCATGTAACCAGGGCTGCTACCGGGAGCGCGGAGGGGAAGGGAGCCCCCAGCTCTGCTGGGCCGGCCCAGGCCCCTCCGCGGCTCCCCCTTCCACTGCCCACCTGCCCAGCACCCCGCCCCCACCCCAGACGGTGGTGGTTAACCCCAGGACTCCCCAAGCTCAGCCTCTGTGTGCGGCAGCCCTGAGCAGGGCTAAGACTCCAAGATGCCCTTGGTGGATTTCTTCTGCGAGACCTGCTCCAAGCCATGGCTGGTGGGCTGGTGGGACCAGGTAGGGGACCTTGGAGTGGTAGATGGGCAGGACACCTGGCCCTGGCCCTCTGACCTCTGACCCTTCAACCCCTGGTTTGGATTTGTGTGTTCAGCTATGCACGTGTGCAGTCTGGAGATTAATACTTACGACTGTGTCTCTGTGTGGCCCAGGGCTGGGTGTAAATGGTGGGTGGCTGGGGGTCTCTCTGGGTGTGACTGTCAGTGCACACATGTGTGTGCCTGCAGTGGTGTGGCGCCACCTGACTATATGCTTGTTTGCTTGGGTCATGGCTTGGCTCTGTCTGAGATCATATGGCTCTGGTTGTGTTGTTATGTGTTGGACATGTTTGTGAGTCCAGAACTACGTGATTTTTCTGGGGCATGTGACCCTGAGTGTCAGTGACCACCTTATTGTACATGCCACTTGATTTGTGGGTCTGGGGCTATGTGAACTGTGTAACGTAGGAATCTGTGTCTGTGTGTGGTTTGTGACTTTGTGGGTCCATCTTGCACGAGTGTGTGTGTACGTGTGTGCCTCTCTCTCTTTATGTGTGCCCAAGGTCTCTGGGCAGCACTGGCTGCAGTGAGTGCCCCATTGGGTGTGGGCCCTCAGGCTCACCCTCCCTGTCCAGTGTCCCTCCTGCCTCTCTGGATGGAGTCAGCTCTGCTTTGGGGGTGCTTTGCCAGAGCTTGGGGGTGGGGAACTGATGCCCTTTTTCCTCCTTGCACAATGTCACAGCAGATGCTGTGTGAAGTGGCATGGGGGGACCAGGAGAGGCCCCCAAGCTTGGTTCTGGGTATACTTCACTCATCTGTGCATCTGTCCACCTCCTGGAGCTAGGGAAGAGGGGGCTATGATGGGAACCCCCTCCCCTTGGTGACCAAACTAGGGCTTCCTCAGCTCACTCTTCTCCCCTGCCCCAGCCAAACCTTTTCTTCACCTAGAGCTTGGGAACTATGTTTCCTCCTTCCAAACTGGGCTGGGTGCTAGGGGCAGGATCCCCAGGGAATAGGTCCCATGTCTGGGGAGACAGGGGCCAGGGGTAGCCCTGGGAAGGCAAGGGTTAAGGGGCCTGTGGCCTACCCCCCCTTTCCCCCAAGCTCAGCAGCTGGTTGGAGGGGGAGTTGCTAAGGAGACTCCCATCACCATGGCAATGGGATTCTCCTGATACCTCATTGGCTCCCTGTTAGTCAAGAGCCCCTCCCTTCCACAGGTGCCCCTCTGGCTCCTCCTTGGGGAGAGGGGGAGAGAGTATGAGGAGGGGAGCCCCCCTTCCTCAGGCAAAGAGATATGCTGAGTCCTTACTCCCCAAGCCTGGGGATCCCCATCCAGAGCTGGGAGGAGAGGAAGGGCTGACCCCTCCCCTCTGACAGCCTGTTGGGGTCTCTGTAGGCTAAACAGAGAAGTAGGAAGGACTCATGGAGTCTTCAGAAGTTTCTTGGGTAAGGCTGACTTCCCACTTTTCCATGACTCCATCATTCCTTCCTTCTTGCCTCCTTCACCTTAGTTCAAGAGGATGCTAAACCGGGAACTCACACACCTGTCAGAGATGAGCAGGTCAGGAAACCAGGTCTCTGAGTACATCTCCACCACATTCCTGGGTGAGTGAAGGGCAGCCCGTGGTAGGGGTGCACACCTGGGCTGGAGGGGCCCCCCCAGACCTCGGGTCCTATTGCCCACCTTTACCTAAGGGACCCTGACTCTTAACTCTCCAAAGGTCAAAGTCACCGTGTTCAAGAGTTCCCATACTCATGATGCCCCCAAATTCAGTGGCACCCTAACTTCTATAGAACCCCACATTTTAAAATCTCTCCAAACTGAAAAGCTCTCCCAAACTCAGTGGAACCCTAATGGAACTCTGAAATTCAAGATCCCAGGAAACCCCCAAACTCAAATAGAATTCCTGAACTTGATAATGCCCCCAGGCTGAGCCCTGGCAGGTAGCAAGTTGGTTGGAGCATCATCCTGATGCACTGCCCGGGTTGTGGGCTCCATCCCCAGTTGGGCACCAGCTGGAGTCAACCAATAAATGCATGGATGGGTGGTGCTGCAAGTCTATGTCTCTCTCTCTCTCTTTCTCTCTCTCTCAAATCAATAAATTAACCTGCCCAGCAGGGCTTGGCTCAGCGGTTGAGCATTGACCTAGGATCCAGGAGATCGCTGTGCGATTCCTGCTTCCTGGTCAGGGCACATGCCTGGGCTGTGGGCTCGATTCCCAGTTGGGGACGTGCAGGAGGCAGCCAATCAATGACTCTCTCATCACTGATGTTTCTATCTCTCTCTCTCCCTCTCCCTTCCTCTCTCTAAAATCAATAAAGATATATTTAATAAATAAATTAGCTCTGGCCAATGTTTCTCAGTGGTTAGAGCATTGGCCTGCACACTGAAGGGTCACAGATTCAATTCTCAGTCAAGGGGCAAGTACCTGGGTTGCGGGTTCACCACCTGCCCTGGTCCGGAGCATGTGGGAGGCAACCAGTCCAACCAGTAGATGTGTCTCTCTCACCTCGATGCTTCTCTCTCTCTCTCTCTCTGTCCCCCTCCATCCTTCCCTTCCACACTTTCTTTGAAAAGCAATAGAAGGAATATCCTCGGGTGGCTGAGGATTAACAAAATAAATAAATTGATTTAATTAATTAATTAATTTTTAAAAAAGAAAAGAAAATGCCTCCAGTCTGAAAAGCCCACAAAAGTCAATAGAATCTGCAAACTTGGATTCCCCTCAAATTCAGAAGATCCCCCCAAACTCAAGAGAGATGCCTCAACTCAGGTGGGTTCTCAAACTTAAAGGAACCTCTGCCCTGAATAGTCCATAAAAGACCCCAAAACTTTAAATAAAAAACCTTCAAACTGAAAAGTCCCCCAAATTCAATAAATCCCCAAACTTTTATGATCTCCTAAATTCAGTTGACTCCCCAAATTTTAGATATCCAAACTCAATAGGCTTCTCAAGCTTAAGAACCTAGAAAAGATTCCCCAAACTTGGAGAATTTCCTAACTCAATTGAACCCCAATACAGTAGAATACCCCAAATTTATTGGAAACTTCAAGCTCCTGGGAACCTCCAATTCATCCTAACCTCTGAACTCAGGAGCCCAAGCTGAGGATAGTCCTTATAAACGCAGGATTTCACCCTCACAATTTATCATCAAAGATCCCCAAAGTCAGATTTACCCCGTCCCCCAAGTTAAGGAAGGTTCTGATTCTCAAATGCTCCTGCCAGTGGGGGTGTGGCTGTGCCAAACTCTGAGATCCAGCCAATGCGAGCATGGCATGCAAATGACCCTGTAGGGCCTTGTCATCGACTAGTGGGCCCCAGGTCACAATGGGTGACCCTGACTGGGCTCTGGAAGCCCTTGAAAGCTCAGGGAAAAAGTTCCAGGGTCTGCTTCCCAGGAAGGCTGGTGTTACCCAGTAGGGGTGGGGGTCCATGGAGCCAGAGACCAACCTTCCCTCCCTCCTCCCATCACTGTCCACCCCCACCAGCACTCTCCATCACCATGGAGGTGTCTTCCCAGCGACCTCCTATTAGGGCAGGCAAGGGCTCTCTCTAGCATCCCCACCCCACTTCCTGACTTCCCATGCCACCCCCCTGGCAATTGGACTGGGGCCACTTCACAGCTCCTGGCAGGCCCCAAAGTCCCCACTCCAGCCCACCACTCCCCAGAAAAATTTCTTCCTCCCCTTTGGTTTCCAGCTATGAGTAACCAACAGCACGACACCCAGAAGGGGTCTGCCCTCCTGGGTGAAACTTTCCAAAACTAATGGGATGGGGGCTGAGGGTCAGATGAGGGAGGCTGAGGGGCATCCATGCTTGCTCCCCTCCATCTTCTATAGACAAGCAGAATGAAGTGGAGATCCCATCACCCACGATGAAGGATGGAGAAAAAGCACCTCGGCAAAGACCCTCCCAGCAGCCTCCGCCCCCTGGGCCGCAGTTCCAGCCTATGTCTCAGATCATGGGGGTGAAGAAGATGATGCATAGCAGCAGCCTGACCGATTCCAGCATACCCCGCTTTGGGGTGAAGACAGACCAAGAGGAGCTCCTGGCCCAAGTGGGTGGGGGCTCAGCTGGAGAGGGGCAAGGGTTTCCTGGAGAAGGACTGGGTGTTGGGTTAGCCTGAGATGAGGATTGGGGTATATAGGTAGTTCCCTGGTTTTCTGAAAGCAGAACATTCCTATGAAACCTTTCGTAAACCCAAACAGCGTAAAACGAAGCAGTTACCACTAATTTATGTGTCTTTATTTCGTTCATGATTGAAATACTTAATTATATCCGGTTTTACACTAAGTATAACACCCTTACGAGCTCTCTTAGGCTTTTCTGATACCTTAGGACACATCTTGCTAATGGCTGCACAAAATAAATTAAGATAAAGCACAGATGCTCACAGATAAGTACAAAGCTCTGGTGACTGGATGCCAAGGTGCCGAGGGCAGGTCCTGGGGAAGGAGTTTGGCAGGGCCCCTCTAGATGATCAGCCACTATAACAGCCGCTGCAAAACAAATGATGAACACTTTTCTGTTTTCCCTTTTCACCTTTTTTTATAAAAGCAAAAATCCTCTTTGGGTTTCTTTGAGTAAGCAAAAACAGGCACTAATGTAGGTATTTTGTAAAAGCAAGTGGCATAACATGAACTTTCTGAGACTCTTGGGAGCAGGAGAGGAAGGAGCTAAGCAAGGAGGTAGTCTCAGCTAGAGTCCAGCCTCAGCCTGAACCCACAGGGAGCTCTGGACTGTGAATAACAGAGTTGAGCCCATCCTGAGGGAAAAGCACTGGCTTCTGTACCCCTGTGTCATCACTGACTGGGGGCTACCCCCAGAGTGGATGGCATCACCTCTTCCATGTAGTTCCTTTGGGGACAAAAGCAGTTTTCTGGAGAATGGGGCAGCTGTGAGCCTTAGAAGCAACAGTCTCAGCAGCTGGGAGGTGGGTGCAGTGGCCAGTGAAGGGGATCTAGGCAGAACACCAGCAGTTTGCACTACAGGAGCCAGGGTTTGGCTCCTAGCTCTTCTGAGAGGCCTTGAGCCAAGGGGCTCTCACATCAATTTGTACAATTGATGTGATACTCAGTGGCTCACTCAGCTGACATTTATTGTAACCCTTTGTGAGCTGACACTGGCCAGTGCAACATTGGGTCACCCAGTATTTATTGAGCACCTGCTGTGTACTGGCACTGTTCTGGATCCTAGGAAGACACAGAAAATTAGCTCATGTTTCTTTCCTCCTGGCACCCATGAGCAGTTTAGCTTGGAGGCTACAGGGTCTGGGGTAAATCACATCACCTGTCAAATGAGATCAAGTGCTTAGTGCAGTGCCTGGCAGATAATAAGCACTCCATAAACAGTCGCTGTGGTTGCTTTGTTATTTCTCAGCCCAGTAGGACCTGGGCTGTAAATTCTGTGCTGCTGAGCATGCCACCCGCTGGGTAGGCAATGGTGGTGCTACCTTCAGACCAAGGGTCTACAGGGAAAAGGCTAGAGGGCGCTGAGCCTTGCAGGCTCCTGATCTCTGGCCTCCATCTCCTCCAGGAGCTGGAGAACCTGAACAAGTGGGGCCTGAACATCTTTCACGTGTCAGATTATGCTAGAGGCCGTTCCCTTAGCTGCATCATGTACACAATATTCCAGGTAGGGCTGCTGAGT